ATATATATATATATATTAGAAAATCAATAAATTTAAAAGATCAAGTCATAGTTTTGAATATTGAAAATTGATTGAAGTTAGACATAATGCAGGGGCGGCGGAGGACTATCTATCTTCCTTTGACTGTATATTTTATTTGATAGGGTTTATGTCACATCCCAATATTTTTCATCAATTAATTCATCAATATAAATTTAATTTTGTTAAGTGTTTATATTATTATTGATTGATATCAACATTAAATAAGTTTGTGTAATAAATAAAAAATAAATTTGTGAATAAATTTTTCTAAAATGATGAACTCATATCTACTTGTAAATCTATGCAAATCTATATATTTAACCACTAACTTTTGGACGATAAAACCTTTCCATGAACGGTATAAAAAAAAAAATTAACACGCCTGAATGTATTTATATAAAATGAGCGCATATGAATATTTCTAAAATGTGTGCCGTTATAAATATTAAGATATAAATGATTCCAAAAAAATTCATATAAAATGTTGATTTAGAAAGAAAAAAAAACAAAAAAAAATGAGTATCCGTAGAAAAGCTTTTATAAAATGCATATAATAAATTAGATAATGTATTGAATATTAGTTAAAAGAACACAAAATAAATCTAAATAAAATCAAGTTTATATCATATAAGGGTATAAATACCTTTGGCGGGTTTTTCCAAATTGCAAGCATCCTCACTCACATTTCTAGGGAATACCTTCGCATATATACACAATCATCTTCACAAAAATGGCTGCCACCATTGCTTCAGTCGTCTCAGGCTACGATCGACAATCGGAGCTCAAAGCTTTCGACCAAACAAAAACCGGCGTCAAAGGACTCGTCGATGCCGGAATCAGGAAAATCCCTACAATCTTCTTCCATCCCCGGGACACCACCCCCAAAACATCCACCGCTGCTGTCGAGATTCCGGTCATAGACCTTCAATCGACCCATAGAGCATCGATGGTGGAGATGATTCGTGAAGCCTCGGCGAACCTAGGTATTTTTCAGGTGGTGAATCATGGGATTCCTGTGAGTGTTATGGAGGAGGTGGTTCAAGGAGTTCGTAGATTTCACGAACAAGATGATGAGGTGAAGAAAGGGTTTTACACCAGGGATCTTTCGAGTACATTTGTGTATAACAGCAATTACGATCTGTATAATTCCCCCGCTTTGAACTGGAGAGATACCTTCTTTTCATTTATGGCTCCGTCACCTCCGCCGCCTGAGGAATTACCGGGGGTTTGCAGAGACATTCAAATCGAGTACTCAAATCAAGTCATGAAATTAGGAGGCGTACTTTTCAGATTATTCTCAGAGGCGTTGGGATTGAACGCAAATCATCTTGGAGATCTCGATTGTGGCAAAGGGCTTTTATTCTCCGGCCATTATTACCCTGCTTGTCCACAACCAGATCTAACAATGGGCACAAGCAATCATACAGACGACGGATTCCTAGCTGTGCTTTTACAAGATCAAATCGGAGGTCTCCAAATCCGCCATCAAAATCAATGGATTGATGTTCCTCCGACACCTGGTGCGCTTGTGATCAACACCGGAGATCTATTACAGGTATACCATTCGATATATGATTCTAACTATGAGACTTCAAAATTGGAGTCTGATTCTATTAGGGTTTTTCAGATGATGTCGAATGACAGATTGACTAGTGTGGAGCACAGAGTGTTGGCAAATGAGAAAGGGCCGAGAGTGTCGGTGGCGTGTTTCTTTGGCACCCATTTAACGCCGTCGGAGAAGGTGTATGGACCCATTAAAGAGCTGCTTTCCGATGAGAATCCGGCGAGATACAGGGAAACCACCGTCCATGACTACAGTCGATATACTGTGTCTAAGGGCCTTGCTGCAGGGGCTACTCGTTTGCATCATTTGAAGCTCTAAATTGAATGGCATATTTATATATACATATTTAAATAAGATAGCATGTTATATCATACTGGGATGAGACTTGAGAGATAAAATGCTTTTTTTTTTGTTTGTTTGTTTGGTGTAATGCATTTTAAATACGATTAATGCATCAAACTTTTGTATTTTTTTTTATTGATACAATACTCATTTTTATACAAATACACAATCATTTCTTATGTAAAATATACAATGATGTTTTATAACGTATCCAAATCATGCAACTAGCTTTTAATTATGTTATCCTTGAATTTTAAAACCACATAATTAATATATGTACAATTTTCCATATCACTCCTTCCTCTAAATAATCGAAATATATGATTCAAAACTGCCTCCAAATAATCCAAATATATGATTCAAAATCTTGAATCTTTATCATGTATCAAGTTTCTATATCGATACACGATTTTTAGTCATTACATCTTCTCTACAAGTGTATTTATCTTCTTTGTGATGTCTTCTCTGCCATCACTTCTTCTTGTTCAGTCTTTTTTTTTGTTTGTACTCAGGATTTCAGTAATCTATTAAGGTAATGGTTTGAGGCAATTTTTTCATTAAAAATTTTACATTTTCTACTTATTTATCTTTCTATAATCAGTTAGGGCATGCATTGTCTTTTATCGATTAGGGCAAGATTTTAAGTTTTTTTTTTTTTTTT